ATCTGAAAACTGCTGTTCACAAACGCTGTCCATCTAATCTGACTGAGCTGGAGCTGTTTTGCAAAGAAGAATGGGCAAGGATTTCAGTCTCTAGTTGTGCAAAGCTGGTAGAGACAAACCCTAAAAGACTGGCAGCTGTAATTGCAGCAAAAGGTGGTTCTACAAAGTATTGACTCAGGGGGCTGAATAATTACACGCACCCCACTTTTCAGTCATTTATTTGTAAAAAATGTTTGGAATTATGTATGATTTTCATTCCACTTTTCACGTCTACACCACGTTGTATTGGTCTTTCACGTGGAATTCCAATAAAATTGATTCATGTTTGAGGCTGTAATGTGACAAAATGGGGAAAAGATCAAGGGGGCCAACCACTTTTGCAAGCCATTGTATCAGGGAAACGTAATGGGGTCCACATAACCAGGAGTTTGCAGTAGGGGTGGGTTTTTATAATCGATTTATAGATTAAAATCGATTCTGGCTTGGATAACGTAAAATCTATTCATTAAAACCCTGAATCGATTATTTAATATAAATTTATTTTGTCCGAAATGCCAGAATCTCAGGTGAAATCTCACAAAATTTCAACAACCACCAAGCAGCTAAGACAGTAAATGAGAGCAGGAACACGGCTTCTGCACAAAGACTTAAACACACAGCGCAACCCACGGATCAGAATCAGTTAGATGTCGCCTTTCTCACAGTCGGGGCTGAAAGCCGACAGCTTGTCGGCGGGTCGGCGCTTTGTGTTCACGCCCTTTATGCGCTGATTCTAAAGCTGTTAATTTGATGTCTCTCCAAACAATATTGATCGAACCTGTACTTCAAGAACAGTTTCCCGTCTAAAAATCTGTTTTCTGCATTATTCGCTTGCTTGTTACGCACAAGTCTACTGTTGTTTACAGCGCTTTCGGCCGACGTTTTTTTTCTTTTCGTTTTATATACTTCCGAAAAGAAAACCTAAAATAAAGTCTTGCGTGTGTCAGCTTCCTTTTTATAGATACAAAAAATATGTAAATGTAATGATCTGAATGATAATATTTCTGACTGTCAAAATTTCCCAGATTCAAATCGAATTAAATTGAATTGTGGATCGAATCGATTCGGGACCTTGTGAATCAGAATTGAATCGATTCTAGAAATCAGTGACGATACCTAGCCCTAGTTTGCAGGACCCTGTAACTGTCTCCTGGCCTGCCTTGTGTGGTGGGACAACTCAGCTTTGGGACCATGGGGGTACATGTGTAACTGTGGATGGATGGGTGGAGCAGCTTATTTTTGGGGGCAGAACTTGAGTCAGGAACTGCTGGTATGCCTCAGTGGGCATTCATTGACACTGCTAAGATGCAATGTTGTGGGAAGTGGGGAAACCATCCTCCCTACCATGGTGAAGCTTTAGACCAGGGGTCCCCAATTCCAGCCCACGAGGGCCGGTGTCCTTCAGGTTTTAGATGTATCCTTGCCTCCTTACCTTCTGGGAAACCAACTGATCAGGACAGGAGAGTTTCAGCTCTGACAGTGAACAGGGCTTTCTCAGGCAGATTCTACTGGACTTTAAGGACTGCTTCTCCTTCTCAGAGGTTGATATGTGCTGGACTGATCTCATTCAACATGATATTGACACTGAAGATGCACAGCTCATTCGGTTGAGGCCTAGCATGTCCACTGCCTGACCAGGCTCTGCCAGAGGTGCAATGGGCTGGCCTCATTGAACCATCCACCAGCCTCTGGGCCTCTCTTGTCACTATGGTGACAAAGACATTGAAGGATGACTTGCAGTTCTGTGTAGATTTCAAGGTTCAAGGTTCTTTATTTATCACATGCATAGTTATACAAGTATAACACACAGTGAAACCTGATCGGCTCCTCGACTAGACTCGATTTTGCAGAATAGACAATATAAACATATATATATTTAAAGGAATTTGAAATGTACATTGTGCCGGTGGGTTTAGAGTGTCTGGAAGAGTCCTGTCTCAGTCAATTATAGATTATGTGAGGGTGTGTGTGTGGGTGTGTGTGTGTGTGTGTGTG